GATGTGATGCAGGAGTCTGTGTGACGCTCAGCGTTTCATGTGTGCTTATCTGAGTGTTTTGTGTCCAACAGAGGAGACCAAAGTGGGCATCAAGACCATTAAGATGTACTGCCAGCGGATGCAGGAAGAAAACATCACTCGGGCCGTTATCGTAGTCCAGACGGGCATGACGCCCTCCGCTAAACAAGTACGACAAAGATCTCACCTGAAACCCTAAACACAGCTGATTAGGTGCCAGGCAAGCGGATGGATAGATAATTAGTGGCTTGAACTATATCAGCTGACCTGTTTTATCTGATGATTTTGCAGTCTTTGGTTGATATGGCACCAAAATACATCCTGGAACAGTTTCTACAGCAAGAGCTGCTCATAAACATCACCGAGCACGAGGTGAGACACGTTACATGCGAAAAAAATGTATAAGCTCGATTTATTTAAAAAAGTCATATTGAGATTTGATGCACATTTAACATCTGCTGTTAAAAGAACAAAAAGTACTCAATTATAATTTTGTCTCTCAATCTATTTATTAGTATAATTATAACCCAAGCTCAAAACATATTTTAGATATAAATATTTATTTAAAAACATTAATAATATAATTATTAATTTAAATATTATTAATTAAAAAATCATTGGAATTTGTTCAATTCAAATCTGTTGTTAAAAAAAACAAAAACTACTAAATTATAATTTTCTCTCATTCTAATTATTAGAATACATTTTATAATACAAATATTTAAAATATTGATTAAAATATATTAAATTGAATGTATGCATTTAGCAGACGCTTTTATCCAAAGCGACTTGCTTTATATTATTTAAAACCTTAATAATATAAATATAAAAATTATGAATATAAATATTTATTAAAAACCATATTGAGATTTGTTATATTAACAAATATTGTGATCTGTTAAAAGAACAAAAACTACTAAATTATAATCTTGTCTCTCATTCTTAATTTTAACCCAAGCACAAAACATATTTTATATTTTTACAAAAAAAATTAATAAATATATATATATATATATTAGTTGTTGTTTGAGTGAGAGAACATCCTGTAACTTAGTGCAGTTTGGGGAAAATTGTAATGTTAAATTTTTTTGTCTAATATGAAATAAAATGTTACATTGAAAAAAAGTAGATTTTTGTTTGTATATGCTGTTAATTATAATTAATTATAGTTCTTAGAAAGAAAATCGGAATTGACTAAATTCTGTATCGGCAGATCACACTTACCAAAAAAATCTGAATCGGATGATTCACTCGGTGCATCTCTACAGGAAATCTTTCATTTATTCATGATTGGTTCTGTCTTTCTCCTTCAGCTGGTCCCTGAACACATTGTTATGACGAGAGAGGAAGTGACAGAGCTGCTGGCCAGATAGTATCCATAGCAACGGCCCGTGTGTGAAGCCATCCTTTTAAAAGTGTCCGACGGAATTACAAAAGCGATTGTTTCCAGACAGGTTTCCCAAATCCTCTCGCTCTCTGCCATTGGTCAGAAAAACTTAAACTCACTCACTGTTGACTATCTAGTAAACTGGGATAAGAGAAAGTATTGTAACACACACACTTCACCTGTAAACAGCAGACTGATTAGTATTTGGCTCCTCTCTGTTAACCACTTTTCTTGACCGCAATCAGTAAACTCAAGGAGACACAGTTACCCAGAATTCAGTCTAATGATCCTGTGGCACGCTATTTCGGGCTGAAACGAGGGCAGGTAAGTCTGAAAAGTTTTTAACGCAATCTTTGTGTTACTTTAAGCTGAAATCTGGTGCTTTACTATCAAAGGAATGAGAGAATATATAGTTTGAATTGTATAAGTCTGGGGTGTTAATTTTGTCAGATATTTTCATTTTAGTCTTAGTCTTAGTCCCGTGTTAAAATGTCCTTGTTAGATTTGATCATATTTGGTCAGCCTTATCCTATTTAGTTCTAGTTTTAGTCAATGAAAACTTCCGCGATGAGGAGCGCGCGTGCGCGGATGGTTGCCAGATTGCTTAAAATAAGCAAAACACCGTGCAGAAAATGTATTAATTTAACAGCGAAGCTCTGATTCGGGGATTTGAACTCTTGATATCTGGCAACCGCACTCATGAAAGCTCGCGTAGTAGAGGCGTGTAGAGCAGTCTGCAATAACATTTTGTCTCCTTTTTTGATGAAAATAAAAAGAGGTTTTTGGTAGGGCTGCACGATTAATCGAATGCGATTGTCGTGCGCATTTTGATAGTAAAGCCGGTTCTGTAATCAGCAGGAAATCATCATCACGTGCTTTCAGATGGAGCAGCATTTACTACACAGAGCCGTAGTTCACTGACAAGTTACGCAAAAAAATCGCAGACGATTCTATTGCGTGATTCTAAAATTGAAGAAATCGTTGGCGATAATACCAGCTGTTTGCATAGCTTCTCAGTGAACTATGGCTCTGTGTAGTAAATGCTGCTCCGTCTGGAAGCACGTGAAAATACCACATTTAATAACATGTTTTTACTCCAAACTCCCTTCATAACGTCAGTCGAGTGATTGAAATAAATCCTTCTGTGAGATAATGTGGCTTCTTACACAGTGTAGCGGATCAGCTCATGGGGAAATATGAATAATTAACCATAATGCTATAGGGATTTCCTGGGTTTCTTCTGCGGGGTGTATTTGGAGTTTCTCTGGCCTTCAGATGGAGATTTACTGCTGATCACAGAACCGTGCTTCACTGAAAGATACGCATGACAATCGCAGCTTCTGTCGAATCGCCATCTCGATTCCATTTCGATTTATCGTGCAGCCCTAGTTTTTAGTAAAGTTTTTATTTTTTTAAATACATTTTAGTCTCGTCTTATTTCGTCAATGAAATTGCATGTTGATATAGTCATAGTTATCGTTCATTGACCTTATTATCGTCTCGTCTTAGTCGTGGGAAAAAAAGCTCGTCAACGAACATTTTTCGTCATAGTCTTCGTTAGCGAAATGAACACTAATATCAGCGTTGAAAAGCATCCACTGGTTGAGCAGTATTTAGTTATAAAGGCGCTGATTTCTGTCTAACAGGTGGTGAAGATCATCCGGCCGAGTGAAACAGCTGGACGCTACATCACATACAGACTCGTACAGTGAAGACCAGCCTCAGCGTGCTGTTATTTTCATTTGATGTCAAGCTCAAGAGCTACAGATTTGTGTTTGTCATGTGACGGGCTTTTTTTTGTTTGTTTTATAACGGATGATTCTTGTGATGGACGGCAGCAATTATGAATTTAGGTTCATCTTTAATTTCCGTAAAACTTGAATCTTGGATTGTTTTTTTGCAAAATGAAAAAACAAATAAAGTTTTGTTTAATGAATGGTTTCGTTACTGTGTTGTAAATATTTTAACGCATTAATGGCAAAAAAAAAAGTTAAATCCCAACTTAAGTATATTTATATATATATTGAATAATAATATTTTATGTCACCACATTCCAATTAAAAATATTTAAAATAATAAATATGGAAATATTATTTAAATATTTATTAATTCTAATTATATTATTTCTAAGATATAGTCCACCATATTCCAGATATGTCAAACCTGGCAGCAATTATGAATTTAATTTTATCTTAATTTCCATAAAACTTGCATCTTGGATTGTTTTTTTTTTTTTCAAAATGAAAAAAATGCATTTTTGTTTAATTAATGGTTTCGTTAAATAAAAATATTTGAATACATATTTAATAATATTATTTTATATATCACCACATTCCAATTCAAAAATAATATTTAAAATAATAAAGATAGAAATATTAATTAATTCTAATAATATTATTTCTAATATATAGTCCACCATATTCCAGATCTGTCAAACCCAAGCACAAAAAGTTTACAAACTAAATTATTCATTGCAAATATAGTAGAAATGACAGATTTATTGCATGTAAATGTTTTCTAAGAATATATACAGTTTCAGAATATACAAAAGGGTTTTGAATTCACTCACAAATGTCTGGTCAACAGCGGTGTTATGCATTTATAAGTCAAATGGTTAAAGGCTTTAGTTAACATGAGATGAAACTACAGTCCCAGGATGCTTTAAACTGTATTTAGTTAGACAGTACAGTGCTGCTGGAACAACATTAGTAATGAAATATACACACGATTACAAATGAAGCAAATGTTTAGAAGAGAAATATGCATAAGCATTTTATAATGCATCACTTAAGCATTAAAACCAGCGCTGACCAGCAGTCCGGCTGTTGTTAGATCAATTTAACGTAACACCATTTTATGCTTCTTTGCCAATAAACAAGGAAAAACTCCAGTGCATAGAAGAAACTATAATAAATACTGTAAAATACAATGTTACAAGCTTCTAAAGAGACACGTACTTCCCAACAAAAATGTATCGGGGAAAAAAAATAGACTTTAAGCAAAACGCTTTTTATATCTACAACACACTGACTCACCTTGAGATCCTATTAAATAATAATAATGATGTTTATGTTTGTTTCTGAAAGACAGTAATTATTGTATTCCAGTTCTGGGTTATGAATGTGCTGGTTTATACAGTCTAGTGCACAAACTTATATTTATATTAAGGGAATATAACCACCATCATCTGATTAAAGAGACCAACATCCCTGCAGCACAAAAGCAGTGTTAAGTCGCTGGGGGATATTTGTAGCAATAGCCAACAATACATTGTATGGCTCAAAATGATAGATTTCTCTTTTATGCCAAAAATCATTAGGATATTAAGTAAAGATCATGTTCCATGAAGATATTTAGTAAATTTCCTACCGTAAATATATCAAAACTTAATTTTTGATTAGTAATATGCATTGCTAAGAACTTCATTTGGACAACTTTAAAGATGATTTTCTCAATATTTAGATTTTTTTTGCACCCTCAGATTCCAGATTTTCAAATAGTTGTATCTCGGCTAAATATTGTCCTATCCTAACAAACCATACATCAATGGGAAGCGTATTTATTCAGCTTTCAGATGATGTATAAATCTCAATATCCAAAAATGGACCCTTATGACTGGTTTTGTGCTCCAGGGTCACATATATGAAACTACACTGATCTCAGTTCTAGAAAAAAACGGCATGAGAGGTCACTGACAGGTCATATGAGTTCGCCTGTCAGTCAAAACCTTCTTATTCTTAATGTTATTCATCGGACTTTTAGGAATGAATGTATATAAAATTAACACTTGTTCTCCTGTTTTACATCGCTAATGGTTGAAGTGTGTTTTGGCCTGTCTTACTAATCTGAGACCTGCTCTGCGCTGGTTTCCTGCGGGTCTGTACCGTCCGTCTGCTCTGGGATGGTCTCTGGAACCAGTCCGCTCAGGTCCAGACTCACTCGGGGACTCGTCTGGTCTTCTTCTGTGCTTGTCTCACTCTCCTGACTCACCAGAGGAGGGCGCTGCGGTCTGCTTGCTCTGCCCAGATCCTCCGCATCAGAGTCTGAGTCCAGAGACCGCTCTTGAGAACCAGAGGAACCCACAGAATGACCTGAAGAACGAGAGGAACAAACATACACTTGATCAGAGGTAGAACAGCACAATTTATTAAAAAAAACCATTTTAATCGCAAAATATTTTGTCATATTGTGATATGATGAACATTTGAGCAGTTTACTACTAAACTACTATTTCTAATTCTATCTCTCTTTCTACTAAAATTTCAAATTCTTGTTTCAATCCTAATATTAATTCTTATTTCATGAACCTATGGATACATAATATTATTTTATAATATTCAAATGTAAAATATAAAAATTATTTATTATTATTTAATATTTATTCATTTTTTCCTAATATATAGGAATACTCTCATGTATTTAAAATATTAAACATATTCCAAACCCTCTTATTTCACAAACCCAAGCAAAATAAAAAAAAAACATATTAATAAACATAATAATATTTAAAATAATAAAGAAAAATATTATTTAACATATTTAAAAACATGACAATATTCAAAATAATAAAAATTTAAATATTATTGAAATATTATCCATTATAATATTTCTAATATATATCCCACCACAATTGTCAAACTCAAGCACAGGAAGTATTTTATAATATTAATATTTTAAATATTAAAAATCACCAGATCCACTCTTTTTTAAAATAATATTAATATTTAAATGTCAATAATATTTAAATAAATAAATCTGTATTAAAATGTACATATTTGAATACATTTTATAAAGATAAAATATTATTTAAATATTTATAAATAAATACTATTTATTTATTTTCTTAATAAATATTTATTAATACTAATTATAATTGCTAATATATACTGTATATATATATATATATTTATTTATTTATTTATTTTTTTTTACAAACCCAAACACATTTTTAATAATATCAATATTTTAATTAATAAAAAACATTATTTACTATTAATAATATTTCTAATATGTATGTATCTCACCACATTCCAGATCTGCTCTGTTTGGCTCTTCGTGAGTTCCAGTCTCACAGTCCTGAATAAAGGAATGTATTACAATCAGAGCTGAGCACAAAATCACACACGGCATCAGAAATGTGCTGTGATCAAACCCCATCAATCCTCAATCACTGACACTCCTGTATAAACCTGCACACTACATCAGATCAAATATGAATCAGTGCAGACCTGGCTCTGGCCTGGAGAGCTGACTGAGATGAAGATGTTCTGCTGGAAGACGATCAGAGCTTCTACGATGCGCGCCTGATGAGGGTAATCCACCAGAGACGACAGGGACACCGTGGCTCCGGTGGGTTTGGGTCTCATCAGGGTCGGGCCGAACACGATGCCTAAATTACTGGCGCTCATTTTATTATCTTGCTCCAACTCAGACACTCTGACAGAGAGAGAGAAAAACAAGAACTTTTCATTAATATTATACATCAAAGTTTTATATTCCCTGATAAACTTCAGCAAACTTCATAAACAAAATGTTTCTCATTTTTATATTCATACAAGTCACAGCACCTAAAATGCAGTCTCATATATATGAAAATCTTGAAATTGAAAATAAAAGATCATGTTATTTGTCAACTACTAAATTATTTTGTTATTGCATGTTGCTGTTTTTTTTT